CAGATACACACACCATGTAGCCATCATCCATGGGCATGCCCCTCGACATGGTCCTGGCATGTTCAGACTACGCTTCATGAAACTGTGGCCCTCTTGCCTTTGGTCTGCCATCTGCTTCCAATAAACTAAGCCAGCCTGGTTCCTCTGATGTTCCCTCCACTTTGAAAAACACAGAAAAGAGAAAAAAGTGAGACAGAGAGCACGAGCGAGAGGGAGACAAAAATGAGAGCAAGTATGAAATGAGCCAGATGAACCCAAAAAGAAATAGAAATAAGGGGAATAAGAGCACATCTCAAACATGTTATTACCTCTTCCTTGCTGCTAGCAAGGCCACCCTGATTGTGCTTGGTTTTTCACCCGTGCTGGAAGGCTTCACTCCACAACTTTTCCACTTCATGACTACTTCCATCTTATTTGTAATGAGAAAGGACAATGTTTCTCTTCCCTGACTCACCCCTCCAAACATTAGACCGCATTGCACCTTACCAACATGCTCCAACCAAATCAGGTTTGTCAGTTGGTTAAATAAAGCATGCTCCTTGTAGTTTTTTAAACTTTTTCCACCTCTTACACTCAATGTAATCAAATCTCAAGTTTGTAACATAAATCAGCAAAAACTCACTGCTTTCCATTTAGTTTTGTCGAACAAATTAGGCTCTTTAAGCTTTTAGTCAAAGAAAGGATACAAGTGGAACTTTATTTTATTTTCTGGTCCGAAGTCTGAGGAGAAAACTGCAGATAGCTGAACCCTGCAGTGTCCAAGAACTCACACAGTGTGAAGGACAATTTAGATACTCTTGTGTCTTTGTTGATTATTTCTGACACAGTAAATAAGACTGTTTCTCTGCCACATTTAACAATAAAACAAAAATGAGGCCGTGACCTTCTGGTACAAATGACTTGATTCCAGTGCCAGTTCATTAAAGCCTAGTTTATCAGAGCAACAAGCATGATTGACCATAAGTGACATGGTTATTTGGCTTTACGTTGGGCCTGTGTGTCAGCTAGTTCCCCCACTGTTGAAATGCGGTACAGGTTCAATTGTTAGGGCAAACTACCATTCATCTTCATATGTGTGCAAAGGAAATATCACATTATAGCCACGTATAAAAAGGCCTTCTATAAATGGGCTGTCTTTGTAGGGTGTTTTTGCACTGAAGCAGTCAGTCAATGGGCTGGAGGCATTGAGAAACATTGCCCTGGCTGTCACCAATAGCCATAAACACAATATTGAATGTGTCATACCCTTCAGCCACTGCCAAGATGACTGTAGAGGGGAATGATCAGCTCTAAAGCTCTTTCCAACACAACCCATCAACTAGCCAGGGTCTATCAGAAGTAAAGACATACCCATCAAGCATACAGGGTTCAGACTCCGATTCTGTTGCGATATCGTGGTCATGCAGAAAATGTGGAGAGCAGTGAGACCATGACAGACTGAGGAGCAGACTGAGACAGGAAGATGAGGGTAGAAAGACGGATAGAGGGATGGAGAGGGCGAGCAGGGTGGCAGACTGCCGAGCAGACGGATCCTGGCATGGCAGGAGTTCTCGGCAGGCGTCATCTGTCCCTAGCAGGCCCCTTTGGGCCGCCAAGAATTCACACCCAAATACGCTTCCCTGTTTGTCTCAAGAGCCACTATAAACTGTCACCCCACCATCAAAACTATTATGTGATTTTCTATCATGACAATTCCAAGGAAATGACAAACACAACTCCGTTTATTTCTCCTACAAGACTATCTCGGTCTAGCTCTCAGTTCTCCCAGTGCCATTTGGTGTTTCCTCTTAGACCAGCACAGTCTAGACCAGCTTGGCTAAAGGTGCAAAGCGGCAGGGTACCTCTGAGATGGGTGTCTCTAGTATGTAGGACACCTTGTCTATGCTATGCCTGCTTCACACAGGCCCTGTGAGCAGAGTCATGAGGGAGCATCATGAAGAAGGAGTTTAATTAGGAGCAAGCCTCCAAAGGGGCCACGGAGAAAGACACAGAGCCAAGCAAGAAGACAGCGCTGTTGCCTTCTTTCCTTCTACATCATACCCATTCGAACTCCTTTTCTGTCACATTTAATCAATTTCTTATAGTATTCAACAAGAAAATTGACACTTGCAGCTTTCACGGTATGTAGAAATGTGCTCCTCGGGCCATTGCGGGAGAAATGTCATTTGCAAATCACTTAGAAATGAAAACATCTTGATGAAACTAGAAATGTTCAGCTGTTGGTGGAATGTAATTAGTGTAAACAATCAATAACATTTGTATTATTGGTGATTCTCTTGAAAATGAATTGGAAACTCCAGACGCGATGAGCAGATGAAGGTGGTAAAACTAGGGCAGTAAGGTGGCGAGGTGGGAGCCACACAACAGAGAGGTCCATCTATGGCTATTTTAGCTCCCCGACAAATCTCATTGGATGTTGGCTTGTGTGTCAGTCAGTGTTAGGCAACAGGTGGACATAACTAAGATAAATGGCATAGCATCCTTGAACCCTATCCTAAATATGTTGAGATCTCTTGGGGAGCAAAGCCTGGACCACATGCTTCATAGTCATCTAACACTCGCTCCTTGGCAGCCTGCACCCCATCAGTGCCCAGTGTTGCAACTGCCCACCCCCCACGCTGCTAGACAAACAAGTCCGTTGCCCCATAAGGGTGTCACCTTTAGTTCAGCCCTTGTTCCTCTCCCCGTGTTGCCACACTGCTGCTCTTCCTAGAATGGCAGAGAATCTCTCCTGCGCTGTTTGCTGGTGGCAGTAGGTGGAAAACTGACTTAGTGGGAAGAAAAGTTGTTTTTACTCGTGTGGATTCTCATGTGAACTGGGAAAGGCCAACGGTTCATCTCTTTGTCAGTTTGATGTGAAGCATTGCCAAGGCCAGGACGAAGCTACGCAAAAGAAACAGCAAACTTTTTACATCTCACGCCTTTGCCAAAAAAAAAAAAGACAGCATTCTAAACCTTGCAACCCCTTTGTTCTTCTCACTCGTCCTCCTCTGATAGAGAAAGAGTGGCTGATTCAGCGTAGGTCTGTTTGGAGGCAGATCCCCTGCATCGCCTTGGTTGATTTGTTTGGTGTGATTTCCTGAAGACTGTCAAAGATATGAGAGAAGCTTTCAAATTCAGAATTCCAGATTTCCACTCTCGGGGCCAAGTGAGGATTCAGAGAAAGAAACGGAGAGCCAGCAAATGTTGACACACTTACAGTAGCTGCCTCGCCACGAGACGCCTCAGGAATCAAACAGTTATCACACACACACACACAAACACACAAAAGAGGCCCACTAAGTTTACTAAAACCACACTCAAAACAGGCCTTTGTTGTGCTGACATAAGAGATAACTGGATTGTTATTTGTTTTCTAAGCTGGCAGATCGCTGCTGTCATTTCTGCAGCTGCTTGTGATGGAGTAGCACGCACTTGTATCTGTTCTGTGAGTGAGAACTGGCGGAGACAAACAAATGAGAGAGAGAAGTTCACTGAGATTAACTTATCTTAGCATCTACCTCCCTCCGTTCTCCTGCTCCGTCGCTCTTTCTTCTTTCTTGACTCTAACACCCACTCTCGCTCACCCACACATGCACACGCAAACACAGACTCATTCCCCTCGTTCCTCTCCCACGTACAGACACACACAAGCACACACAAGCACACACACACACACACACACACACACACACACACACACTTGATCAGCATCAAATACAGGGTGTGCTAAAGTAAATTTAATTACGTCTGTCTGATATGGAGCTTCAGATGAAAGTAGGAGAGCGCAGTGTGAAGCGACGACTGCACAGACAGGAGCAGGCCCGTGATATTCCTCCTGTAGACTAATCTCCCTTTATTAAAGCCAGGAGGAGAGAGGGAGGGAGGGTGTGGAGGGGGGAGGTTGGGGGGAGAAGAGTAGGAGGAGGGGGTGTCTTTGATGAGATCTGTAACTGTCAGCTACTGTACTTTTCTTCTCTCCCGCTCGCTCTTTGTCTCTCACTTAACAAGGAAAATGAACACAGCACCTATCGGAACGCTTGCTGAGGCGAGCTTTGGCTATCACATGGAACGCTTCCTGAAACTTGTCCCTGTTGTTAGGATTGTCAACATGTTTTTTTTAAAAGGACAAATGCAGATATCCCCGTTCCTTTTTTAAAGCTTTCTTTGTCTGCGTCTCTCCTCGAGTTGGAGCGAGTGGAGAGTGTGGTTCTCTGATCGTTTTCTTTCCGCTCTAATGGGGGCAGGTGGCCATCAGGTGGCCAAAACAGAAACTGCCTTGTTTAACAGCCCCTATCCAGCAGCCACAGACTTTTACACGCTTATGTGGTTTTATTTATTTAAATGCTTGTGCTTTAAAGAAATGGGATCTTTTTAATGCATCTTGTTGGATGTTATAAAACCATCTATGCCGTCTTATGTTCTCTTGCTCAGGGATTGACTTTGTACAGACGTGTTCACTTTGTTTGAGAAAGTTAGAAGACAGCTTTCCAAAAGGGATTAAACAGTGAATGTGTGATTCTCTCGTATCAAATTTACTTACTGTTGTTTGACAGAAATGAAGTTGGAGATAGTCTAATTGGACAGAGACTAACTGAAAAACATAATTATCTTTTGCCCCATCCAAGCCATTCACCTGGATCTCTGTTCCTCGTCTTAATCGTCTTGAACGATGTTGTGAAACTGCTCTGTTTTCAGACGTTGAGAAAGAAGGGCCTAAACGGCTGTGACAGCCCAGACCCAGATGCAGACGACTCGGTTGGCCACAGCCCCGAGTCCGAGGACAAGTACAGGAAAATAAACGAGGACATTGATCTGATGATCAGCAGGCAGAGACTGTGTGTAAGTACTTTTTGCGGAACCTAGAGCCTTCTTCTCACCTTTCTTTCCTCTCTTTCCATCCCACCCACCACCCTGCGTCTCCTGTCCCTTCACCCTTGTCACCCGTTCCTACCGCCCATCTCTCCATCCCTTCGTGTTTGTGTTTCCCACCCCTTTTCTGTGGTTGCGGGACCTGGCAGGCATTGAACAAGAAGGAGAACAAGGGCGGCGAGAGCCCGGAGCTTGAGTCTGCTCTCATCCTCACCCCAAGCACTGAGGAGAAATACAAACAGATTAACGAAGAGTTTGATCACATGATAAAATCTCATAAAATACCAGTAAGTACCGAGGGAACCGCCTCGTCAGCAGGCTAACCAAATCCAGACTGGCAACCGATGAGCTAACCTGGCTAACCGCAATTGTTTGCCACTAGACTAATTGCACAAAGAGAGAGTGAAAGTAACCTCAGAGTGAGATTACAGTGTTTACACGCAGTGACGAAATTACAGTTCTTCTATTCTGCTTGCTTACATTTAAGGAGCAGTCCTGTAATCTGACGAAAGTATAACCATGACTAGCAGGCTTTTTTATCCCACTGTATTAATTACAGACAAATTTCAACCTTACGCAGTTCCCACCTTGAACAACCCATGATGCCGTGCCTGGCTCTCAAGAAAGGTGTGGTCTGCATGTGTTTGTCCTTTTACCGTGCTCAGTCACCTGCAACCTTCAGGGACAGACATTCACAAACTCTAACTTGTGTCTGAAAATGTCTCTGAACTCCTTTCTCAAACTGTCGAAGACAAACGCGTCGGCAGCCCGTCTCTCTTAGTGGACATGTTATTTCAAGCACTGTCGTTGCTACAAAATAAGCTGTCGGAAACCACAAAACTCAGACCGTTTTGTGCCTGCATCTCATCCTAAACGCACCATGTTGGAATGATTAGTCCTCTGGCGTTACAGAGAAAGACATAAGTCGGCGGCGTAGAAGCAATAGAAGAACAGTAGTGTCTAACCCACGTGGAGCAGGAGGCGATGTGGTTAGAAAATAAGGCAGGGGTGGGTGAGCTGAGGTGGGGTGGCTTTGGGATCGGAGCTGGGTGGAGGCGGGGGGTGGACTCTGCACATAACAAGTGGCAGTTCAGCATGTGGTCAGGGTGGCTGCCAAGCAGTAGGCCTCTGGATAGCAGGGGACTGTTGGAGGGGGAACTGTGAGGAAAGGCAGGGGGAGGAAGATGAATGAAAAACAGGAAGGATGGCACCCGTTAAGAGACGGCTGAAGAACGGCGCCCTTACACCCAGTAAAAGGCTGTGTACACACACAAGCAGCTGAAAGAGCACATCGCTTAGACAGTCAAGAGATTTAACACTCCCGCGAGGAATCGGAGATGGAAGAAATTACAGAGTGGATGGAGTTAAGCACTCACAGGTTTTGGCTCGCCCACAATGAAATACGGTTAAAGTAACAATCTTTGTATGTTAAAACAATATTTGGCCTGCTAAAGGAGTATTAGCGAATGGGGAGAAAAAAAATCCTCCAAGTGGAAGCAGTGTTACGGCACCTAGCCTGTTTCCACGTAAAGCAGGCCGATGATCTCCCCGATACAATCCTTCCACAGCTCCAAGACACATGGCAGTAATTTAGAGCCCTATTTTCTACTTCCTAATACTAACACGGGATCAACCACTTCCAGGGTGCTCCCAAGGTTAAGCCTTACTGCCAAATGACACAATAAATATGACAAACTGGATGCCTGAGGCTGTCAGGCCACCTCTACTCGTGTTCCTGATGAGACCGCTGACTGATCTGCGTCTCCCATTTAAACCCTTGGCATTAGCTCCAAGTTACAAGAAAATAAATAAAACCTTAATGTCCTTCAGATTGGTAGTCATCTGTTTAGAAAATACACGAAGCTATTTTTAGGGAATTAAAGACCTAAACTCAGGTTTAGGACTTTTGGAAATGCAACCTTCTTTCTTTAAAGCAAAACAAATGAAGTTTGAGGTGATTTTGTTTCAGATCAGTCTTTTACATGACATTTTTAAAAGTCCTATCATGACAGAAGCAACAACATTATACTTTAGAGCAATCTCTGATGGTAGTGGCCTCCAAAGTGACCTACCTAGGCACATCACGTTGGATGGATAAAGTCTCGCCAGGCTATTTATCATCCCGAAAACGATTAGAATAACTGACAAGCTCTTCTAAGCTCCCTGTTTTCCATTTCTCCTCCTATATTGTTCTAAAGCTTCTGGGTTTATTTCTGATATTTTTTGCACACGTCACCTGTGCAAAGTTTTTTTTTTAAATGTCCGTCTCTCCCTTCAAATTAGATGTCTTTTGTGACCTCTGTTTTTTTAGTGACACTGTCCTTATATGGCATGGTGTTCCTGGAGTGTTTGTGATTCACCCTTTTTCTTTTCCATGTCTTTCTAAAAGCCCTCTCATTCTTCTTTTTCTTGTTCATTCACCTGAATGGTTGTTATCTTTGGTTTAATAATATTTGTGTCCTTTTTCCTCCCACCCCACCTCCTCAACAGGCTGTGCCCCCATCAAACTACGACATGCCCGTATCCATTCCCTCTAGCAACCAGAACAATCTAATCTACAGCCATCCCGGTGGGTCCCTAGGCAACCACAATCTGCTGCCGTTAGCGCACCATGGTCTGCAGAGGAATAGCATGTCTCCTGGAGTGACACACAGACCCCCCAGTGCAGGTAATGCAGGTAGAGCCTCGCATGCACTCATGGCTCTAAGTGCATGCGGTTATCCCATCTGTTCCTCCTGTCGAGTGTGTGTGTGTGTGTGTGTGTGTGTGTGTGTGTGTGTGTGTGTGTGTGTGTGTGTGTGTGTGTGTGTGTGTGTGTGTGTGTGTGTGTGTGTGTGTGTGTGTGTGTGTGTGAGCTTGTCTGTCATGCTAATAGACACAGACACATCAAATGTGTCATTTAATTTATGACAGCTTCCCGCAATATTCCATCCAAAAGCGGTGAATGAATCTAAAATCTTTCCTCCCACACATCATCACATTCCCCGCTTCGTGTTTTGTCAAAAGTAACGGTGAACTGATATTAAACTGGGATGTCTGGCCCCGACACACGAGCACCAAGCTGCTGGTGACACAAGTACATTTGGTCTGTTGGTTTGTTATTGTTGTCCAAGGTCCTTTTTTCTGTTCCTGTAGTCTGAAAGCTGCTGCCCACACCCCCACCCTGTCATTACAACTGCATGCTGAAAACGCCAGCACAAACTAAATATATGAGTTTTGGTGATTTGGACATCCCGAGCCAAACCGCACGCGATCTTGCCCCTCCCACTCTTCCACCTCACATGTTTCAAAAATAATAATGTGCCATTTTTCTTGGACAGCACCTTCATGCATCTACTGGTTGTCCAGATGCTTAGCATGTTATGGTTTGAGTGGGAAGCCGTGCTGGTTCTTGCATGGGTCCACGGTACTGGCACATATAGTGAGATGGGAGGCAGAGTGGATGTTATGTGGGTGTCTATCCTCTAATGGTTTTCTCTCCTCTGCTTTGCTCATTATTGCATCTTACAGGTGGCCTCATGGGTGCTGACCTCACCACTGGCGCAGGCACCAGTGCTGGTAAGAATGGCCTCTTCTTCTCACACACAGATGTCTACCAGCACACACACACACACACACACACACACACACATGTATATCCATGTCACCCACTCACCCACTCGGGGCCATAAAATGCATGACTAACACTAACCCAAACCCGAGTGGAGATTTCGTCCGTGATGTGTTGAAGTTAGTGGTTGTGGAGTTCATCTGGGAATGTTTGCTCAGTGCCTCGACTGTGACACATCCTGCCTCTAAAACAGTAAAACAAGTGGTGGGGGAGATGGAATCAAAACGGCACAGAAGCAGCAGACTGTCAGACAGAAATTATCGGAAGCCTCTGGATGTATTTTTTTAAATTATAATTATTACAGTTTCCAGTTTCTTGAACGAATGTTTTGAATCGTGTTTTTCTATAAAACTGTAAATAATGAGCTGCTTTTGAACAATTCAAGAAGAGTCTCAGTTAGGAGTCCCACAGGAATGATAGGCTAAAGGCTAGTCTTGCTAAAACTATCTCCAAAACGGTATAAGATGTTATTTCCTTAACCTTTAAAATGCTGCCAGTTTAGTAATATTTAATAATATTTTTGCATAAATATGAAAGAAACTTGTTCTAGTTGTGACCCCTGAATACATCGGAGGTGCAACTTTATGCTGCTGTTGGTGATATGGTGTAAATAAGGGCAGAACCACGTGGGAATTGGGCTACAAGGACAAAAGTACAGCAGATTAATGGTTTATTAAAGAAAAAATGATACATTTATATAAATAATTTGAGATCATAGTGTATAGGGCTTGCTCATCAGCCCTTCTCTTTCTTTTCACAAAGGCGTTTCAGGACATTATTTATTAACAGAAAAACTAGTCAAAACTGTTACGGTTTTCCTTTCCTGATCCAGGAAGCCAAAAACAACACGTGAGAGAAATCAAATGAGTTAGCTTCTGTTTGTCCACCAGTTCGCCCCTGAGGACATGTCAAATACAAGTTTATGGCAAAGAGGCTCCCTTTTAAAGGGTTAAATTTTACAGCCGGCGCATACAGTGTGTAAAAAATGGAGAATTAGGGGCGTCAGTCGGGCACAGCTGGGCAGTCTCGTCTGGCCCTTGAGGCTCTGACACGAGGGGTCAATTCCTGGTTTCTCTGTCTGGTCACTCATCTCACACACACACACACACAACAGGGCCGTTTGTTGTGGCGTGTGTTCCATTGACGGCACTTTGCAGCACATGCTTCAAATGTAGCCTTTGTGTCACTGCGAAGAGGGAAACAGAGGGGCTTCTGTGTGCGCTTTACGTCGCACAGCAGAGTCGTGAAAAACACAACGAGGAGAGAGAGTCATGTGGGAGCTGAAAGATTCCATTCAGTGGTGTCCTAAATCTCTTCTGGTGGGGTAGAGAGAGTGTGTGTCTTGGGGGGGGTGTAGTGATAAATATCCACTGATGGTGGAAGCATGTGTGTGAAGGAGAAACAGTGGGGGAACACAGATGGAAGTGTTCTCCGAGCTTGGTCAGCCATTTTAATAATGATTCTCAAACTTCAGCAAGTTTTCAAACAACGCAAAAATTCATTTAATTTATTTATTCTTTTCAAACGTAAAGTTTTCATAAAACGATCATACCGGACCTGTTTGTGCTCTGTTCCTGGTGTCGTAAACACACCATGTTTGTGCCATTTCAGGCTAGACTAATTATAATATATGTTTAAATTACAAATTTAGCTCATACATTTGGTCAAAGCTCTAATTTTCTGTTTATTTGACTTCCAAAAACCAGAATTGGGGTGTATTCCAAATCTCCAAAGGTCCCTAGCTAATTCTAGTCCAGCGTAAATGAGGCGTATCACTGAAAAGCTTCGTCATCGTGTCTTTTTCTATGAAAATATTGCAGGCGGTGTGTATGCACATGTGTGTGTTTGCTTATTTATGCAGTATATCTCCAATCTGTCATTGCCTCTGCTCATGAGGAGAGCGCACAAAGTGGTGAAAGACTGCTTGTAAAGGGAGCTCCACTTTTAGGCCCCTACTTGTGAAAACCAAAACCGCCGCCATTTGTGCAATTAGGTAGCTGTCATCTGCGCTCTGATCAGCACGCTCCTGAGCAAAAGCTCTGCGAGGAGTTAACGAGAATCCCCTGTCGCATCTCACCTTGTTCACACACCAATTATTCCCCCTTAAATAGGTCGCACAACGGGCGCTGTGGCCGAGCATCGTTGGTCAAAGTCAAACGGAGCTAAAAAGTGCACGTGCGAGCAGCATCTGACAAAAAAGACTCGTCTTCCTCTGATTCCGGTCTGAGCAGTGCCTCACAGCAACTGTCCCAAAGTTGTGAGCGCGAATGTGACACCTTGGTTCAGTTGGAGAATTCAGGGTTGAATGCACGTTTGGCCAAACCGCAACGGAAGAGCCTGCGTGCATGGGGAATAGAACGGGGCGCGCCTGTTAGACCACAACAGGACATCAGAAATTTGTTCAGTAACAGTAAAATGTATGAGTTTAACCACACCTCCCTTTTTTAATGTGTGTGTGTGTGTGTGTGTGTGTGTGTGTGTGTGTGTGTGTGTGTGTGTGTGTGTGTGTGTGTGTGTGCGTGTGCGTGTGCGTGTGCGTGTGCGTGTGCGTGTGTGCAAGAGTGAAAGAGAGAATGAAGACTCTGTAGAGGCCTTGTCAAAAACACGTCTAACCGTGGCGCTAACCAACGTTGACCTTAGCTGCCCCCAATGCTTCAGAAATAGCAAATAGCTGTTTATCTGAATGTTAGATCAGACACTACTCTCTCTCTCTCTCTCTCTCTCTCTCTCTCTCTCTCTCTCTCTCTCTCTCTCTCTCTCTCTCTCTCTCTCTCTCTCTCTCTCTCTCTCTCTCTCTCTCTCTCTCTCTCTCTCTCTCTCTCTCTCTCTCTCTCTCTCTTGCTCTCCATTTCTGCAAAAAGACCACTTGCTAAGCTGTGTTCAATTTTGGAACTTCCTCTAAAGAAGTGACACCAGCCTGCAAAGCAGCTAGACTTTGCAAAGTAGCACAAGGGGAGGACGATGTTAGGGTTAGGGTGTCGTGTCTTCCTTCAGCCGACAGAGCTTCTGTTGAATGTGCTCACCCCTGAATCAGAATGATCGCATTGCAGAACAGAAAGATTTGAGTCACAGTCTTTGCTTCATTAGTATAATTGGCCTGTGATTTTACTTTTGAAGTGCTTAAGGACCGGCCTGTGCCACTCATGATTACAGTCTTCCAGCATATAATTGACTGGACTGCAGCCATCTCCACAGGGTGGCAATACACAGATGTCTGATTAACCGCCACCGAGATGAAGTCCGTGTCTTCTTGAACGAAGTGTGTATTAACGTCTCCTTAAAGCTCGGTGTCTATTTTACGCATCTGTACAGAAACACTGATGTACTTCCTGCTGGGTTATTTACCACAGTGTGTGTGTGTGTAGGGTGTGTGTGCGTGTGTTTTATGTGCGATTGAGGTCTCATTCATTCGTCTCCACATGCACCCACTCAAGTCTCATAAAAGGCCAGTCATAAGAAGGAGAAAGCGGCAGAACTGAAGAGGCAGCTGCATCTTTGCTAATGTGAGAGTCACGCTAAATCTGAGAGTCCGTTACAAAGAAATATTAAAAGAGACTACCAAACTTGCTCACGAGCATCTGTGTTCATGTAGATCTAAACTGTGCTGATGTGGCTTTAATGACACACACAAAAAAACGGTTGATTCGTCTTCCTCCTAAGCAACGTTTACACTGACAGCGGCTTTAACGTGTTGCCTCGTTTTTCTGTCAGCCTCATTTTCTCCCACCGCTAGCGGTCGTTTACTCTTCAGATTGTTCAAATTGAGCTTTTGAGACTTTTCATTTCCAAACAACAAAAACCTCGCTCTCAAATTAAACAAAGATCAGCGAGGGAAATTGCCCAGGAAGACATCTGCGACTCATTTTCCCTGGAGTGTATGATTAGGAAATTCATTTATGTCTAACGTATAATTCCTCCCCGCCTTTCAAGTGGGAATGTCCACACGGTGCCCTGCGTTCTAACCCCCCCCCCCCAGGAGAAGAAATGAGACGTAAGCGGAAAAACAGCCCAGACCGAGTTAGAAACAAAGACATGATGGTTGTAAGAACGCCCCGCGATGCTGCTGCTGCTAGGGTTTCACCTCCGTTATGGGACCCTTCGTGCGTAGGGGGATGTAAATATGGTAGCAACACCAAGGCATGGTTTTTTGTCTGAACTGTTCTTACCTCTGATGGACAAATTATCTGTCTGATCCTTCTGTGGTCTTACTACCCATAATTAGAGGTTTTTACAAGATTCACTTACTGTAGCCGAGCACAGGAAGCCTCTTGTGACAGAGACAGATGTAGAGGGTGTGGACGAGATCATTGTATAACTTCCCAACAAACAGTCGAGATCATGAAAGCAAAAAATAAAAAATAAAAACATCTGTTTGACTGTTTGCCCCAACATTGTGCACTTAATGTGAGTGCTCCAATGAAATTCCTACAAGTGGGAACAAGAGATGGGACATAAATGCTGTAAAAGGTGAAAGTGGGTCTCTGTATTTAAGCCCTAACCCTAGACGAACACATAACTGAATTAAAACACATAACAAACTGATTTTTTTATGTTCTTTTTGTAGGAAATGGCTATGGGAATCACCGCAACTCACCTGGACTGCTGGTTTCTACTGGCGGGATGAACAAGAACATGCAGACCAAGTCTCCCCCACCCATGAACTTAGGCATGAACAGCCGTAAGCCTGACCTACGCGTGCTCATCCCCCCTGGAGCCAAGAACAACATGCCCTCCATCGTGAGTAAACTTCACATCCCTCACTTCATGCCGTCATTCATCTTTCTCTCATCTGCTGCCTCCTTTGTTTCCTTTCACGTCCCGCTTTCATCTCTTCATATCAGACTTGGGTTGATGGGTTTTCATTTGTGAAAATCAAACTGCTAAAACGACGCTTTTCATTTAATTTTTCTCTCGACCCAAAGCTGATATACTTTATTGAGTTTTTGTAATGGCGTCTGTGCAGCACGGACACTTTCCTCCGTTAGCACAGCTTCAGCAGCTCTTAGCATTTTCTTTTCTGATTGGTTTTGGTTCTGTTGGCTCGGTCCTGAAGTAGCTCCATCCTTAGATCCACACCAAAGAGCTTCCCTAAAAGTGCTCCTTCGTATTCACTAATTTATCACCCTCCCCTTTTAATGCCACCAGTCTGAGGATGTTGATCTGCTATTGGTAAGTCAGACTGCCATTCAAATGTAGAATTAACGCGACCTGGAAAAGTTAGTAAAAATCTAAAGGCTGAGGGTTTATCAGCTGATTCTCTAAGGAGGACAATGGCTCTCTGCAAAAGTCAGTGAATCAGAGCTTGTGTCCACTTGTTGCTTTTCAGATTATTACAGTTGATTATCGTCTTTCTTTTCCGTTTTGTTTGAGAACAGCAGTTAACTTCTCTGCACTCCGCTTGGTGGCGCTGATGAGTGCGACCGTTAATGAAGGCACATAGTGCCATCAAGTGGGTTGTCAGAGTAAAGCAAGCTGGCCTCCTTTGCCTTCTCCTCCCTTCCTGTGAATACAGAAAGTGTTGAAAGCAAACAGCAGAGAGCTTTAATTTCCTAAAAAAAATAATAATAATAAACTGGAATAGAGTACACTTTTGCTTCCCATCAAACCTCCATGGTTTCCTGACTAATCCTCCCCTCTTCCTTAATCAAAGTCCCATTTTCTTGCCTTTGCTACCATGCATTGTCATGGAAACCAATGGTGTTACTATAGTGACAGTGGGCCCTCAGAATAAAGGTGGTAAATGGTAGGGTTGGCAGGGTTCAGCAGAGTTTCTTGTCAAGTGACTTCTTTTCTCTGAAGTTGGCGTCATATTTATTCTCTCGTCTGTTAAAGAAAGATTTTTTATTGTTTTCATGTCCTTAGGTTTGATTTATCTCTTGTTTTTTGTTTCCATTTTCAGAACCAGAGAATAAACAACTCGCAGTCTGCTCAGTCATTGGCTACCCCAGTGGTATCAGTAGCAACTCCCACTCTACCAGGACAGGGCATGGGTGGTTACCCATCTGCCATCTCTACTTCTTATGGTACCGGTACGTACCACACGCTTTAGCCCTGAAAAATTATTTCATGCTTCAGATTTGTGTATTTTTTATTGTATGATTTAAATTAACAAATAAATCTAGTCCATCACATGAGCAACTGCAAAATTTGCCCTAAAGAGTTTTTGTGTTATGCAGAAATGTAACAGTAGGGGGCGCCATTGTACAACTTTTTGTGTCAACAGTTTTTACAAGGAGTCCAAATCTTTTTTGTGACCTCTTTTGTCTCCATCGTCTTCTTTCCTGTGTGTTTGTACACAGAGTATTCCCTGAACAGTGCAGACCTGTCCTCGTTGTCTGGCTTCAACAGTGGCAGCTCCCTCCACCTCGGCTCCATGAGTGGGTGGCAACAGCAACATCTTCAGAACATGCAGCATTCAGCTCTCGGCCAGCTAGGGTGAGTGCTCATGACTTATGGATAGGTGTTGATGGGAAATGCATGATGACATGCAGATTTTTAATTGAATTCAGGAATAAATTATCTGAAACTTCCTCACTGGTCTAGATCTTCACCTGTTTGAATGCCTGCATGTTTGCATGTGATGGACTGACTTTAGACTCACTGCTCTGTAACTCTGTAATACCTTGTGTTTCCTTGTCCTCCCGACAGAAGTTGCTCTAGCTCTCACTTGTGTCAGGGCTCAAATCTCTCTCTGCCCTCTGCTCAAAACCTGCACATCAAGTCCGAACCGGTTTCTCCTCCTAGAGATCGCACCAGCAGCACACCGGGGGGCTACGGCGGTGGGGTGCCGCCTCCACAGAACGCCTCATCCCGCCAGGACTCGGGACGCTCCCCCGTCGATAGCTTGAGCAGTTGTAGCAGCTCCCATGAGGGCAGCGACCGCGACGAGCACAGGAACGAGTTCCACTCGCCCCTAGGACTGGCCCGGGCCGCCCTGGATGAGCGAGAGAGTCCGTCCATTAAACGGGTGCGCCTCTCAGAAGGATGGGCGACATGATGGCCCTGTCAACACCCCCAGCAGAGCCCCGAGTTGCCCCGGAGCCCCTGACAGAGCAGCGTTGCGATGCCCCCGTCAGCTCCCTCTTCCTCATCCTCACTCGACATCACGAGTCACACACCACCCGACCCCACGGCCTCTCTCCTTTTATCTTTTTATTGCTGAAGGAAAGAAAAGGGACAGCCCTCTTCAAGTGTTTCTTTTTTTTATTTTATCTTTTTGTTTCTCGTTTTTGCTGAGTGTGTGTGCGTGCGTGTGCTTTACATATTGACATTATATAAGCCAGTTGGCTGTTGTAACGGGGTTTTGGGAGGGTGGGTGTTGGTTCAGACGAGATTACAGGGGAATTTTTGTTGGGGAACTATGCATAAATTGTATTGTTTGTGGTTAAAAAAGAATCAAGTATGCATATATCTTTACACGTACGTATGTGTACATATATGCATATCAGCAAATTAAAAAAAGGTAGTCAGGTACTCAGTCTCATAAAATGTACTTTCGATTCGCCTCAGCGATGTATCATTAGTCAGAAAAAGGAGGAAAAAACAACAAAAAAACGTGAGAGTGAGTGTGTCGGGTGAAGAACACCTTGCACTTGAGATGGACAAAACTTACGCGTGTACAGAATCTGTTTCAATGCTATGTACCTTCTCTGCAGCTCTCCCTTGCAAAAATGTGTGTTAACATTAGATGATGTCATGTTGCAGGTTCAACGTATTTATGTAAATAACGGGTCACGGGAAGGGGGCTGGGCTGGGGCGGTTACGGCAGGGCAGGGCAGGGCAGGGGGTCAAAAAGTTGCCAGACATTTCAAGATTTAACAACTCAATAAACGAAAACGCTATTATGCAACATTTGAAGGACTGTACAGGTAAACATGCAAACAGGTGATTTTAGCGCTCCACTTAAAGAACGGAGTCAGGACCCCCATTTGATCCAAGAGCTCCACGGGTGTAATCAACAAAACTCTGGATCTAGTATTAACAACTCAGTATTGATAAACAAAAAAAACAAAAACAATAAAAAAAATACAATTGTACGATACACTTGCTTATATTTTCATATGAAAGGAATACAATGCAAAGCATTTTGTGGCTTTTTGTAGTTTCTATAAGCCAGAATGTGTTTTTTGATAGCTTTGCTAATAAAAGATGGATAGTTCAACCCAAGGGGGTGGCGCGTTGGTTTGAAGGGGGGGTGGGGGGGGGGGGGGGTAATGACAGGGCTCCAAAGCCTCAAGCCATGAAAAAAAAAAACAGACTGAGATCCAATGCTTTGCTGAACTGTTTTATCTTTGTAGAGGTTTGTTTTTAAACTTGTATTTCTAATTATATATAATAATGGTAATATTAAGAATCTTTTAAAAATCTGTGAAATTAACATGCTTGTGTATAGCTTTCTAATATATAAATATATATAATGATTTTTTTTTGTTTGTTTTTGTTGGTTTCTTAGTGGAGTTTTTATGTGCAGTTGCACACGTTGTCTGGTTTGTTTCATTTGATCTTTAAACAGTGCTGTTTTGGGCTGTATTTAGACTCATGTTAAAAGCCAGCTGGAAGAGAGAGAGAGAGAAAGAGAGAGAGAGAGAGATGGGCCTGGATGCTGAAAAAAATCAAACTGTTTGTGGAAAACGTCCCAAAAATGGAGACGACAGAGGAAGTGATGCGCTCGTCACCCTGATGAGGAAGTGTGACCGACCTTCAGAGTCTGGACATCAGATGTTTCATTCTGACTCAAAATGATCAAATTCAATCCTGTTGGTTGTATTTTTTTTTCGACTTACTGTCGGACCTCAGGTCTTCTCCAAGCTTTGCTTGTGTTTGAGATGTTGGAGAAGCTTTAGCAAACTGTACAACTTATACATATTTTCCCTTTTGAATCATATTTATGTAATGAGATTTTGTGAGTGATAAATGACCACTGATCATTTCCAGGCCTGATTAGATTCACGCAGCAGTCACACTCCTCACGTTCCACCGACGGTTCAGCTGAAGGATGAAATGATCTCGCTGGTTTGAGAGAAGCACAACTCTTTATTTCAGATGAATACTTTTTTTAAACAATGAAACTAGCCACATATCTCTCTGCCTCCCACTCCTGTATCTGCAGTCACTTAAGTGTTATAATATTTCTATGTGCATAATTCATGCAGGTTCACATTGTTGTAACTGTATACAGTCTGTGTAGTCAAAATGGGGCAGAGCCTCTGTAATGGTGTTTTCTCTTTTATTTTTTAAACTTCAGTACAAAAAAATACAAAAAATGGTTGGGAAAAGACAAATACATATGATGTTTCAGGCAAGCATAATATTTGGAGAAACCAAAGCCAGTGGCATTTCAGTGTTGTAAAAGCAACGTTTATTTTCACAGTTCATTTATGGGTTTGCTTAGTTCTGTTTTTTTGTTTTTGTTTTTGTTTTTTTGGTTTTTTTGCAAGCATTGAAACAAGATAATAAAATAATTTGTCCAAATGTACAATTGTTTTCACATTTCGATTGCATTTTGTCATGCGTAACTGTAGTTTTTAAACTGCCTGGCCCCTTTCCATCATTTATCCTGCATGTGCATCGCAATCACGAGGTCTCAATCCTGGTCAAATATACGTGGAATGCATTAATGCCAACATTTCCAGACAGATTGTAGTAATCAGTCATTTTTACCAAAGAAGAAAAACTGCCTCGTTTTTGTACATTTTTGTGCTTGTTGAATCATCATTGTCAGCATTATTAGGCATTAATAAACTATTAAGTATAGTATTAACCACTGCTTAATCATACTATGTAATGCATTAGAGACACTTTGTTTATTAATGTTTAATAATGCACTAAGGAACATTAACAAAGGAGTCCTTTGTTTATTAATGCTAAATAATGCGCCAAGTAATGGTAATATATGAACTAGTCTATTCAAGCTTAAAAATGCACTATGTACATTAATAAAGGAATCCTTTGATTACTTAATTCAAAATAAAACATTAAGTAATAATGAAGGGATCTTTTGGTTATGCATGCTTAAAAATGCATTAAGTAACTTTATTAAAGGAATACTTAGTTGATTACTGCTAAATAATGCACTAAGTATAACTGGATCATTTGTTTATTCATGCCTAATAATGCATTAAGTAGCATTATCAAAGATACCCTTTGTTTATTCATAATTAATAATGCTTAAGCAATGTTAAAAAGGGAACCCTGCTTAATAATGCATTAGGTAATGTTAATAAAAGGACCCTTAATGTAAAGTGTTACCAACAATTTTAACAGGATTTTTTGGTACCTCACATTTACCTCCAGCAGTACATCAGCTGGTCTTTTTTGATGAAAAATAAGATTTTTATTTATTTATTTATTTATTTATTGCAGTGCAAAAAGGGGAGATCAAACACCTGTACAGCCATGTAAAAACACACATCATCCCCCAAAACTCCGTGTTGATCCAGTGTGTTTGTGGTTTGTTTAAGTGTTGCTCAAAAAATAAAAAAGGTGATACAAATAATTAATAATCATCATAAAAATAACATGGTAAAACAGTTCAAAGTCAGTCGTTAGTATTGATGTAGCCTGTATAAACCTCGCGGGGGAGTTTGGAATTTCTTGACCACAAGAGAGGCTTTTTAGCGGCATAAGCTGGGCTTTGTCGCCACTTGAGACGAAGATGGTGTTGAATGAAATCACATCTCTGTAACTCAAGGGACTTGTTTCAGCTGTGTGGAGATGAAACAGGAATCTTCTCAGCTGGAGGGAAAGGCTATTTGTATTTTGCAGAGATTTCAGTAAAGTTACTGTCTTTCTTAGTTATCCTCGTGTGACTTGGTGTGATTTCATTGTGTTTGACTTGTTTCTACATGCACCCCAAAACAGAGGTAAAAACAGAACATCAGCAGGACATGCTGTGGAAATCATCACATGAAACCTTTGAAATTTATTTTTGACAATAAATGAAAATTTTGCTAGAAAAAAAATGCTTTTTGAACATTTACACAGGATTAAATCAACATTTTTCCAGAAGTATGAAAATAAAAGACTTTTGGAAGATTCATCGAATAAGTAAAAGGGAATGTTGGCACTAAATCAAATAAAATCCACAAATCTTCTCTCAATTAAGGAAAAACATAAAAATAAAAAAGATTCTGCAAATTAACGTTATTACAAAAGAGCGAAATTTCCCAGGAAATAAAATATATAAACGTAAAGAAAAATGTATTTATATAGCTGCATTCATCTTGATAAAAATAAGAAATGCAACGTTATCAACATGAAATCTAAGGACTGAGTGACAACTAATGACGTCATTGCTTCTGACGTGAAAAATGCAGGAGGCCTCAATAGTGACCATGCTGTTATTTAAGTTTTAAAGTTTAATTATTGAAAAACAATAAAATAAATACAACTAAAAAAAACGGAAACTGAATTTAAAAAGAAAGTTAAATGTTATTTTCGATCTTTTTGTTGTTGTTTTATTTTCCTATCCTTCAAAACAATTTGTTACATTATTTTTAATATCTCTGATTCATCATTTGAAAAAAATAAAAACATGTGCTATTCGTATAGCCTTATCCTTTCTTATAATTCACACTTTGATGCTGATCTCAGTTGAAGGTGCTTCATTTACCTAAGAGGAAAAACTTAAGGCCTGAATAATCGATAAGTCCTGATTCGGATAATTAAAAATGAGGGAAAACGGCGAAAGTCTTTTTCTCTCTCTTTTAAATAGGCTTTTTTAAATTACATTGTGTATTTCCTTCAAAACACTCTCGACTTTCTATTCTCACGTCATTTCATCATACACGAATAAAAAAACGTTCACGTGGTGCGACAAAGAACAAAACTCGATTAATTAATAAATAAGTCCCTGCCATTTTCCACGCGGAAGGAAAAAAGCGCAGCAGGGAAAGATCAACACTTCATCACAGACCTAATTATCTCTGTGAGGATTGATGGGTCAGTGGTGCGTTACCGATTTTCCGCTTAGGGCCAGTTTTGTGCAAGAAATTTTTCTTTTTCTTTTTTTTTCCATTTTTAACCAAAGGCTGTTTTGTGGAATTTAGTGTCTGAAATATTATTTTCGATTATTTTTCTGCTGTTTTCCACCATCTTCTGAGTGAATTTGAAGATGGAATATCAATGGAAATGAAGCCGGACACGCAAGGAGACAGATACACAACTGGTGCAGCATGATTTAACATATCTTCATTTGTGTAAAAAGATAAAGAAGAAAGAACATTTGATCATGTGAGCAGACGGGCTTTTTCCGTCTGTGTGTTTCAACTCAAAGCGCAAATCCCTTCCGTGGGTTTGATTTTTGCGATATTTCAAAGAAAACAATTAAATCGATCAAAATGAATGTGACTCCAACTATGGAAATCCAGTCCCTCGCATTAATTGAAGGCCTTTTTTAGACAATTTGCTGTTTTCTGTCCTCGTCCTACATCTTTGGGTGTTTATATTTAGTTCCCCCCACCCAAATGAGCCTAAACTAAAACTAAACAAGATGCCCAATTTCAGTTTAGACTGGATCATTCTCGTGAAATTAAATAATCCCAGTCATGTGTGGAGCTGGATTTAACAGGGAGCTGATTGTGTGCACTTTTTCATCACGAGTACTCCCTTGATCCACCACTAGATGTCACCATTTAGTTATTCTAGTGGTCACCCGCGTCATCTTTGTCCTACTGAAATGCTGCACATTCACAAGAACTTTACCATCAGATATCTTGGAGGTAACTAAATCAACTCCTTCACCAATATCAGCAAAACAGCAATAACAATCATTATTAATGATGTTAATAATTCACGCCTAAACTCGGATCTGTTTTCAAAAGAAATGATTCTCAACATTCTTAGAGAATAAATACGTTTGATGCACTAATAATATCAACAACAACAACAACAACAACAATAATAATAATACTAATAATAATAATAATAATAATAATAATAATAATAATAATAATAATAATAATAATAATAATAATAATTGCACGAGCTCACGCGTCTTGGGAAAATAATTGCAAATAAAACTTCATCTTTTAGGCTGATTACGCTATAATAACGCTTACATCCCATATTACAAACTACACCACGTGACAGCTATCGGCTCTAAAACGAGACAAAATACGTCATCTGTGTGATCTGTGACTGATCTTTCTCAAAGATAAAAAGATTAAATCCAAAGACTTAAATCAATAA